CAGGTGTATATATTCCATCTTCTACTTGTACTCTATTAGACATTACATCTGTCAGGTCAAGACTCAAGATCACTGGATCAGGTCATACATCCCCTTTACACAGTGAGGGGATGTAAATTCGGGGCTACAAAGCCACTTTTACATCCCCTTTATACTTTCGGGGGGTGTAAATATGTTTTTTGCTCCAATGGGAGGTGTAAATTCGGGGGTGTAGCCGTGGGTCCCAGCTTTTTATATTGACTTTTCTTCATTTTTCTTCTCTTTTCTCGGGTGGGTCCCGCCTGCAAGAGATGTAAAAATAGATGTAAATATACATTTTATTTTACATCCTCATAGTGGTGATGTATATTTACATTCATTTACATCTCCTCATTGAAGACGATTCCGGTAACTCGGGGTGTATATTTAACATACACCCCCCACTGTGGATGCTCCTAATCTTTAATGTACAGTTTAATCATTTGAATCACTCTTGTACGGCCTATTATAGCCCAGTTATGAATCGTAATTTGTTTCATGCATATATATATATATACTAGCTAGCTAGGGTATTATAATTATCCATTATTGTTATGATTAGCTCGATGAAAACATAACACTGAAAGTAAAGAGATCAATAATTAATTCAGTAGAGTCCTTCATGTAATTATCTTTGAGCCAGTCATGCTTGGTTTAGGGTTTGTTTAATTACGTGTGCAAGCTTACTCCTCTTTCTAGGCCCCCTCGCTACGCTTATTATCGCCCGCATTTTTAACAAAAGAATGGCTACGCTATGCTGTTTGTGCTTGACTTTACAATTAATTTTAAACACAGTACTGTTTAATTAATAGTCTTATTACGTTCTTTGTTTGAATCGAATTAGTACGGTTTATAATTAATCTTTAGCCATAAACAAAGTACTAATTTGTAATTATGACTTAGTAAGGTATGACAATGACTTACATTAAAGATAGAGCTTGTTCAATATAGATCCCTACATTTTCTATTTCCTAAACATACACCCATCACTCTATAAATCTATGTGTAAAACCTAATTTCAAATTTAAATGACTAGTAGGATATAAGAGGTTGTAGTATTTCTATGTTTTTACATCATTGCCACCAAACTTCATATTTTATTTATAATTTATTTCAAGCATTTCATTAACTACCATAATTGTAATTAATATACTCCCTATTAATAGCATATCAACCACCCCATTTCTTTTAGTTGTCATTCCCTCTCGCATCTCGCCCCTTAAAATTACAAAAAAAAAATAAAAAAAATATGTAAATTACATATCCAATAATGTACCTATGAAATATAATATAAATATATACATATAAAATAGGGAGTTTCACTAAAACACCCAAAATAGAGGTTGAAATTATAAAAAAACCCAAGCACTATTTACATTATTTTTTCAACATAATTAGTATGTACAGTTTTATTCATAAACAATTATAAAGTGGATTATTAGTCATTTATAATTCATAAAAAGAAAATAACATAAACATTTTATTAAACAAACCGATTACCTAAATTTGAATTTATTGTTAAATTTTTTTAAAAATGTTTCAAAATTAATTCCTACATCCATTACAACTATTTAGATATCTTTCCAAATTCAACATCTGTGATTATATACAATCTAATTAAAAACTGTTTCATATTGATTCCTACATTAATATACAAAATGCAATAATGGCTTAGTTGAGGGTATTTTTGGAATCTGAAAAGTACAATAAATCAGATTTTATGCTTAATTAGGTAACTTGCTGAGTTGGATCATAGTCATGGGTTTTTACTTATACAAATTGGGTATTATTTATAGGAACAAAAAGTGAAGGGTTTTAGGTACAGCAAATTAAATTTGAAGGGTGTAAGCCAAATATACTATTAAAGATAAGTGGTTGAAAAAAGCTTAGCTGTCACTGGATCATTTCTCAACCAAGTCTTGTAAATTTGGGCGTTGTATTCATGTCTGATTTGCTAAAACGTGTGACAGTTATATTGAAATGTATTTGGTCTTTTAAAGTTACTAGTGGAGATACAAGTTGTGTGATGTCGTCGATTTATTCCATGTATTGATTAACCCTATGAGGTTACTGTGTTGTATTAACCCTTTATGAATATTTGTTATAATTGAATATAATTATCCCTAATTATGCCACCATATAGGGCTTGGCATGGTGCAAGTTACGCCACCACACAAGGTTCTCAATTTTTTATATTTTATATTAATAATATAAAACTGTTTATGATAGATTTGATTCGAGTTTGAAAACATCGTCCTGCATGCCGGCCTATCATGGAAACATTACCAAATGGATAACTGAATAATGTCGCTCCAATTGATCAAATTTTGTTTCGGACACTATCTCCCGGGATCATTCCGCGCCTTGAAATGAAAACTGGTAAATATAGTAATCAATCATGATCGGACAATATTATCTGTTTTCTTCAATTTAGATCATAAAGTTCCCATCTTCAAAATCATGTTTAGTGCGACTTCAAAACACGGTACCTAACAAAATTAGGAAAAGAGAGAAAAAGAGAAGTCTAATCTTCTCAACGAAATTGAACAGTGGCTGCATGGCTTTCTCCTTCATTCTGCATTGCTTGCAAAATTAGAGCAATTAATAATTTGTTTGGTGTCTCTAAAAACATCGGACCTTGAAATCCTTACACGTATAGAAAGAGAGAGCACAGCGTGTGAGGCAGTCTAACGTGTCACAAAAGCCATCACGTCATTGAGGCGGTGCTTAGCCTATAACTGCCAACTGGGCTGGCTTGCAGTTAGAATTAGATATCGGTTTCGTCCACATCGATCTCTTCTCTTGCGGCAACCAAACTCTGTCTATATATAATATACGCCATCATACGCTCCCATTTCGTCTTTCTTTTTAAACCGTTTTGAGTCTTGAGATCATAAACAACAAGAAGCAGCCTCTAAGACTATATATACATATAATTTATAAAACAACACCTTCCATCGATCTGAGAGTTTCCTTCTACTCATCCCATCCGCTTTTATTGTCATCACGTCTAAGATGAAGAAAATTTTGCGCACCAAGTTGAGATCTGCGTTTTCCAAGGCAGGTCAGTTCTGATCATGCATCTCTATCTCTAATTAATTTCACAGTTTTATATTATTATTTTTAATTTGTTATATGTTCTGATCACACTATGTATACTTTAATTCCAGGGTGCAGATCATACGGAGGGAAAGGAGACCGTGTCGGTGGCAATAGCTTCTCTGACAAGCTAAGCGTGAACGAAGAATACTTGCAAGTTTTCAGAACAAAGTCGTACGTAGAAATGTGGGATAAAGTTCATGGACAGCTTCCAAGCACTGCTACTACTTCTTCCTCGTCTCTTTCTCCTAATTCGTACATGGATCGCTCAGAATATTTGCTTGAACCGCGGCAGGATATTTTAAAGGACATAATTAGTGAGGAGGGCTTAAATCTCCATCACCTTCTCACCCACTACTTCGAAGCCAGCTTAGACGCCTGCCGTATCTGTGACTTGCTCCTCCGCACCCTCCATCAAACACGTTCTGAGTGCCGAAAAATCAAGAAGCTCATCCTAAAACTAAGCCAAAGGGTACTTCTACTTGAACAAGCACAAACACATAATCATGGTAATGATAATAATAATAACAACGAAGATGATGATGAACAACGGGAAGCTATTTTTGGAGATCTTACCACATTTGCCCTTGTCAAGAAGAATCCCTTGTCAATTATCAACCCCGTGCAGTTCCGTGATATTCATGATAGCCACTTGGCGTTGTTCAATAGGTTAACTTTAAAACACAAAAGGGTTCAACGGACCGCAAAGCGTAACAGAATTTGCAAGAAAGTTGGAGGGGTTGGTCTGGTGGTGTCACACAGTGCACTTTTGATTGCCTTGCTTGTGTTTGCAATCCACAGCATGATTGGGATTGTGGTGGCGCCAGCACTGATGGCTTGCTCGTTGGGTATGTGCGCCAAGAAAATGGAGTCTGCGCAGGATTGGTTGGAAGCAAGATTTCCAGATAGCCATTCAGAGCAACTCGATGTGGCGGCAAAAGGGATTTATATTTTGATCAACGATTTTGACACCATGAGTCGGATGGTGAGGAGGTTACATGACGAGGTGGAGCACCGCAAAGCTATTGCAGGTATGTGTGTCACTGCTGCCAGGAATGTGAAAAATGTCAACGGGTCTTGGGGTAACTGTGAAATATTCAAGGAAGTTGTGAGGGAATTTCATGCCGCTGAGTCTGGGTATGTGGACCAATTAGAGGAGCTAGAAGAACACATCTACTTGTGCCTTCTCACCATTAACAGATCCAGAAGGCTTGTCCTAGAAGAAATAGTGGCCACTACCTAATCAATTATTATAAGGAGCCAATGACGTCGTATCGATCATCATATGCTTGTGATTGTGAACTAGTCAAACATGTTACGCAAATCAATGATACATATTCCATGGAACTATATATATACAAAAGAGCTAGCAAGCAATTGCTTCATCAACCAACTTTTCTTCAAACAACGTAAGTACTGTAATATAATTATAGTTTCAATATATATTTTTTTTTGTACGTACTTCAGAAATCAAGGATTTTCTGTTTCTACTTTTGAAAAGAACAAATTACTCTGTCGGTTAATTAAATCTTCTTTCAATAAAATTACTTTTTTTTTTTGGTCGGACTCAGAAGTATTTTACCTATGGCTTGACAATTTTTGTTCTTGTTTCAAGAACTTTTAGAACACGTGTGGTGTGACCCTTCGAACTTGAATGCGACCGGTCGTACTCTGACAACGAGATTCTTGTTGTCGTGCTCGTTGTTAGATGTCCATTCTGAAAACGAGAGGCTTTTGAACCCAAGGCCCAATCAATTTGTGTGGTTTAGAAGCCCAAAGGCATTTTGATTTCCACGAAGAGAAACTATTACAATAACAAAAGGATTCATATTACAAGAATATAAAAAAACTATATAAATTGTAGTGAACGGTAAATATTTCTACAAGTTGAAGGAAGCTGCATCTTCAGCGCGCTTCTTATTGTACAGATTGATATATATATATATATATATAGATGTGGTTGGATCAAAATGCTTGGAATAATAGCCTTGATCAGTTCATGGGTTTTGGTTCCCCATCACAAATTCACAATCGTCGGGCCAGATTTATAATGCCCTAAACCACCACCTGATTTGATAATCCAAAAAATGTGGCGGGCTGCCTCTTTTAATTATAACAAAAAAGAAAGTATAATATAAGCACGCCTCTGCCGTTAACCCAGAACCGTAAAGCCACTTAATTTTATTAGCTTAGCTTATGAGAATTGCACTCTGCTGGAGAAAGTTTGGCCGAAGCTCCAACTGGCAGGCACAATGTTCTGAAAGAGTTGAGTTTCTCCATCCGTGGTGGTGATTCTGAAGGACAGAGATTGGCCATTGAGGTAGGCATTGGACTGCCAGTTTGCTCCCCAATTCCTTGACATTGCCATCCAACCAGTTTTTGAACCTTTGACGTATGCAGACTTAATAGATCCAGCTCCTCCTACATTGCTGATCAGAACAAGCTCAAAGTAGTCCCTCCCATTTATTGTGAACCTCACACCCCCATGCTTCTTGCATGGAACCCTGCACGCACACATGAATCCAAAATCCCATCAATATGCGCTTGACAGAATGCGATTAGTTGGGAAAGCAAAACAGTGCTATTAATTGCCAATTTTGAAATTAAATATAGTAACTACCTTTGGAACAAGACGGGGACGATGCCACCTCTGTAAATCCCAATCTTTTCCCAAGCAGGCTGAGCCATGTCAAAGTGCTGAAGGGGTGGGTTGCACCATCCTCCATTGTTGCTTGGAAGATCATAATTAGGAGGACAAAAGTTTGTTGCAGTGATTGTCACGGACACTCCTTTATTGCACCATCTAGCATCTGTTTTATAATCGCATATGATCTTATAGCATTGCCCACATGAAGCCCCGTCGTTGAACAAGGCGGTACTTAAAGCAGCGGTCCTAGTCCCATACCCTGTCGAATACAGGTTACCGTACCCACAAGCTCCCCCTGCAGTGCACAAGCAGAAGTACTCAACGTTATAAAACTTATAATTATTTCTTAACAAAATACAAAATCTAGCAATTTAAAGGGTAGAGACAAAGCGCCTAGTTAGGATTAGGATAGGTTAAGAGTTGGATGGCGGGATAAGAAAGATTGAAAGAGCTACTTATAATTACCCATAGTTCCTGAGGCATCACTTCCTCCATAAAATGTGGCATGACCTTTAGTCCATCCAGATGCAGTAAATGCAGAAACATTTGTAGAGAGACTGCATAATGATCCAAGCAAGATTGCTAATGCAAAAACGAGTTTGGCCATTATTCTTGCTTAGCTAAAATCTCAATTGCCCAATGCACAAATGAGAGAGAGAGAGAGAGAGAGAGAGAGAGAGCTGATAGGATTTGGTACTGTATTTACGTTGATTGGGATTTCCAAGCAAAGAAATGGTTGTTTAAATAAGGGGAGGGGGCGGATGGATGATGGATGGATGGATGGACTGAGTAATATGCAACAACCTCACATGGGACCTCTGCAGCCGGATTCAACGTAAATGATTCATTTTTCTGTATTATTCATTTAAATTGAATTATCTCTGCAAAAGTCTGAATGCTTCTGAGCCTCCTCAGTCAATTATTCCCACGTTCTCTCCCACATCCACATGCTCTTCCCAGCAGAAGAGCCGTGAATATATCAAAATCCAGAAATCCAAATTGTTGTCTCTTTTTTTTATATATGGAGGATTTCACTTCAAAGGTGCAGGTCGTTGGTATTTTAAGATAAAATGACATATTTAATGTTTTCGTAAGATGGGAATATTTATTTCAGGGTCGTATCACACAACTTCACATGCTACTTCCTTGACCTTATATCATACAGACATTGCCATTATTCTTCATGTGTTATGCACATGATGAGACCTTTTTTACATTATTAGACATTAGATATACATTCTGATTTCTAAAATAAAGAGTTTGGGTACGTTAAAAGCATCCCCTTCCTCACGCCTCATCACCAGCACCAGGGGCCTCGCAATCTCAAATTTTCTAGCATATATATTCTATCAACCCTGATCGCCCATAGTAGCAAATGATAACCATTTATTTATCTTTCTTTTTTTGGAAATGAATTTGTTGTCTGTGATTATATTCCAGTACATCTATTTTCGTTACATGCAGTTGCCATGTGATGTTGCACCGTCAAGCATTGTGACAGAGACTCCATCGACTTGAAATAATTTATTAAGGGGCACAGCCAATTGGCCATTATTGATCACCGCTTCAAGAAAAATAGGAAGAGAGAATTGACAATCATATGAAAGTCCACCAACACCACAAGAAAGAAACCATAAAGTTTCTTCGCGCAATCTCAGGCGTTTGTACGGAATACAAAGGACATTATATAGATAACAAATGAAAGGTAGTTTGAGTAAAAGATGGTTACGAGTTCAAGTTGCTGCTTAAATGATTGAAGTCAATTCTTGCACATGACGATAACCCAACTCAGGCTATGAACTGATCAACTCTACATATTCTATGATCACACTAGAGACCAGACGCTGAGCAATGCGGCATCTCTTGGTGTTTAAGATTTCGCAATTTGGGATTTGGGATTTGTGGTTCGCATCAGAGGCTAAATGATACACAACGAACAAATGATAACATCTGACAAAACCAATAGTGCATAGCCTCAAATTTAACGTAGTAAATGATAGCATTTGAGAATCTAGGTGCGATAAGAACTCTAATGAAAACAACAAATCACTATCGATATACATAATCCACAAACGAAACAAGTACACTTATCAAACCAGCAATAAGAATTCCACCATTTAAGTATGCAGTTACTCGTGATGGAAATTTAAGTACTGGACCGGAGAGGCATTAAAAGGAGACACAAGAAAAATTTAAAGAGAAGCACAGTTTGCGTTAAAAATCATCGTCGTCATCCTCTGTAATATGGTTGGCAAGCTCCTGCTCTTGTTGCTGCCGCTCTCTCCTCTCAGCACTTTCTTTCTCCTTGTGTGGATTTGGAGGAAACCGTAAGGCCCGAACTGCTTCATTGTGCATGTTAAGACAAAAGGCAATCCTGGAGTTGAAAGCAGCTTGAGGCTCATTAGTAGAGTAAATATCTCCAGTCTCCTTTGATACCATCCACCCATTTGAATGATCCAATGAGGCCTCAATGGCACCATCACGGATAGCCTTGGCCACAATGCTTTCAGCATCGGCAATAGGGTTTGTAGAAATCAATCTTAACTTCTCAGCAACATCAGCAAGCGAGATGCGGGAATAAGAGATGCTAATATTCCGTAATCCAGTCCTGATGACATTATGTCGCAACCGAACAATTAAATTGTGGGTTTGGTCCTTGCTGAATGTGGCAGCAAACTTTTCTGCAACATTTCTGAATAGTGCTAAATCACCAATCCGAACAGCCTGAAATGTCACCAATTTAAACAAGAGAAAATCAGTATAAATCAGTTATTAATTAGGCAAGATGTTGAAAAGTCCAGAGGGACGATTCTCTGATATTATGGACTCACATTTGTTAGTTCAAAGTAAGGCCTCAAAGCTTTTTCCATTCCTCTCTGCATAAAGATGATCCTCTCTGGTATTTCACCAAGAAGCAAACGGACCAAGACAGCCCATTTGTTACATTGAATTCGGAAACCTTGAGCTGCAAAAGGGGCTTTCCTAGCAGCCTGCAAAAGAGACTCTTTTGCATCTGTATACTCCAATTGAATTGTCCGAATCTTTCCAAGGTAGAAGAGATAACGACAGAACTGCAAGTAAACATTTGGACTCAGAAATTCGCAGTTTATTCAGTCTAAAAACAATGCCCACTTCAGGTATCAGAGGAATGAAAGTAATCACAAAACAAATGGTGATAGCCATATTGAACATTCTAGAAATATAAAAGCATACAATACAGCACAAAGCATTGGGAAGCTGGTGAAATGAAGGACCTGATAGTTGAGTCTGACTCAGAAATTCACAATCCAGTCACTGTAAAAACAGTGCTCACTTCGGGTAACAGACTGGTGAAATTAAAAAGAAAACAAACCACTAATGCACACCATAGAGGACATAGCACCAGCAAACTGTAGCAATGTAGGACTTAACTGTTGAGTCTGGAAAAAATATAACCAAAACAAGCCATAGGAACCACAAGAAGTGGAGGCAAAATTTCGAGGACAACAGCAAGCTTATACGTACAGCTGAGTTCAAAAGGAACGCAAAGCTCTAATGGAAAAGAAATGGCCAACTCCTGACACACTATCTTTAATATCATTTGCAGAGAGGTTGACATACCTGCTGGTTTGAATGTGCTTCAAAGCGCGGTGCCTTGGACCTTAGCTTCTCTGCCTGGTCGTATAGGTTGTAATGGAGATAATTTCGAAGTAACAGGTTGAGAAGTGTTTCCTGCTTAACATTATCACACAGCTTTGAGCTTTCACATCCAAAGACAAAACAACCTAGAATACAGTTTGGACACTCACCTGACCCAACTCATCATGACGCAAAGTGGCAATGCGATGCAAGGCAAGGAGATTGCTGAAAAACAGAGTGCAAAGAGATTAAAGCAGATACGATTCAGCTACCAATTTCCTTGGGTGTCCTCTCATGCCATATGTTTAAACGTAAACAAGTATCTGCCTAAGAAATACATAGACAATGCACATGAACACGTATATAGAGATAGGGGGGAGACAGGGAAAGATAGCAGTAAAAGGCTGCAATAAAAAAGAGACATATTGGGTTAATTAATAGCTTACCCTCGAATTTCGGCAAGATTTCCAGTAAGCTCATAGCTATATGAGTAATAGAAGTACAATCTGGATGCTAGAACATCAACGGTTCTTCTATTGAAATTCTTAAGTCGAGCAATACTAGCTGAAGAACAGGCTTTCGCCTAAAAAAAAGGACCGAGGAAAAAGAAAAGAAAATTTACAAAACTGGGACAACTATACAGAGAAGGGAGAAGTAGAAGGTAAAAAAAACAAAGCAAAGCAGAGTGATGGACTCAACCTCATCGTATCTTTTCTGATCAATCAGAAAAAGTATCACAAGCAAGTAACAGTAGATCTCAAGCTCAGGCAATATGTGCTTTGCCGGAGCTTGAACAGCAGAAGTTGCGGCATCATCATTATCAACTTCCATGCCATGCCTATTGTCCTACACAAATAGATGTGAATGTGAAGGTGCATGCGATGTAACAAAACAATTTGCACAAATTCAAACAAGAGAAGTGATTGAAATTAAAGTAAGAGGCAATATTATTTGATTATTCATTTATACACCTTAGGAAGGTAGGCAGACAATCGTGCGTGAGCTTCGGAACCAGGAAGAAGAGCGTAATCGAGAAATGCAGAGAGCAAGGGGGCCGTGAGCTTGCGCCTCAGCTGAATCGTAAGGCGAACAGCACGAGCTATTCTGCGAACCTCTTTGGTGTAGGAAGCGGCCTCAATAAACGATGCCCCCTCCTTCAAATCTTTGGTGTAAAGCCAGACGCAAATTCAAAATTTCACATAGAAATGTAAATAAATAAATAAACGAGCATATAAACGAGCAATCGAAACCCTAAAATTTAGAACAAAATCTGAGATTGGGACTCAGACTCAGAGTTTGGTGCTCACGCTGCAAAATGGATGCTGAATCGGAAGGTAAAGGGGCTTGAGGAAGAGCTTCCTCATCTTTCATCTCCACGTCCTGAGTCATCTTCTTTCCTCACTAACATCTACCAACCAGAATTCGCTGCTTCTGCGTCTGCTGCTTTTCTTTGTCGCACTCTCCTTTCTATTAAGTTTTCTTTCTCTTCAAGTCATATTTCAGTCTTCACTTGAGAGGAACCAAAATTAAATATCACTAAATAAAATAAAGAAAAAAAAAAAAAAAAAAAAAAACAGAGCACCTTGCCCCTATTT